ATTACGTATATACCTGATAATGTTAAATACAAATTATTGTGTGTGAAGGATTCAATTGAGTTATGCATAGAAGACAGGTATGTTACTCAGTCTGCAGTGTACAGTTAAATAATGCCTAGGATACTGATGACCACCTTGCTTCAAGTGTCACTCTTAACTCGTCAATCATCACAACCTTATAGTTTCCATCATAATGTAAAACAATGGTACACTGATAACAAATTAACATTTACCTATTAAAAGTCCAGAAAACAATATTACTGTTCATTTACAATGTATGAACATTTTCCAATCATTTTGCATTAATTTCAATCTGTCCTCACACTTAATGCACTGAAATATAGACACTATGACCCCCACAGCATCATTATCATCCTGGTGTTTCAGTCAAATTAAAAGCTCTGTAATACTGATGCTCCCTTGGACTAATAAGTATCGACCTCGATAGGTCAGGTGGGTTGCCTATGTTCAACTATAGGTTGAAGATCATTCGTGCAGAATTTTTCATTACCATATTTATCCCACTAACGTCTTACCTAAGCTCTGTCAAAAAATATGGGAAACTTTCAAACCATAACAGACAGCTCATTTTGATAAAAAAAATTAAGACGAGTTGATATATTCTCTACATTATCTTTGAAAAAATCTTAAGATCTGCAGGTTTATAGTTTATAATAACAATAAGGACACCAAAACACTTACTGACATATGTTGAGCAAAAACCTTGGTTCCTTTTTTTACTTAAGCTTAAATGACAAGATATTTTGTTACATTCTATTTTAATACAAAATGTAATTAAATGCAAGTTAATGCCACATATGTAAAAGGCACAGTACAAGCACTATTTGAAGCACTCTGTGTAGAGGTGGCATGTGGTAGTGGGCTGTCTAATGACCAAATTTTAAACATACATGACATTCTTAAAGATGTAAACAAGAATGAGTCAGATTGAAAGCCTTCAATAATATGAGAGAAGCTATAGCCTAGCACACACAGTTAACATAGTCAATAGTAGTTTCTCTCCCACCACACCACACTTATCTAATTTGCAACTCTTCAAATACATTTCTTTTAATTTTCACCTTTTATTTAATACTTTATTCATATATTTCCCCATTACAACTTATATTTAGATACCAGTTATGACATACAGTACTTTATTAAGAAATAACAACCAAATACTGTACATCAAAGTTTGTGCAGACGACAAGTCACAATAACATGGCTGAAGAATTGATACCCAACCCACATATCTGAAAATGAAGAAATGACCACATTTCGGTCCGTCCTCAACCATTATCATGTTGTGCAATAGTGTGTGGAAGGGATAAATCTTATTCTTACCTTTCATCTTATGTTTATCTCCATCTTTGTTTCATTCCTCTCACCCTCATTCCTTATATTATTAATCTCTTCCACACACTATTACGCAACTTGATAATAGTCCAGGGCGGACTGAAACATCATATTGTTTCTTCATTCTCAGACGGTTAGATATCATAATTTTTTTCCAAGGTAAGTGTTGAGATATCTTTGGTCTCCGGGTATGCTTGTTAAAGGCCTTTGTTGAAATATGCAAGTTACCTTAAGTTTTACTCTGTATAAATATTAATTATTAGTGCACTTGTACAACCAAGAACCTACTGCCACCTCAAAGTCTAAGCTTATAAATAAATGATTTGATACAAGACTCTGCTCATATATACAACACTTGGCATATACTTACATTCAGCACACAAACTTGCACATAGATCCTTATATGTACATGTTGCATTTATTACACACTACAGTCATTCTTGTAACTTGTGACCAAGTTGATAAACGCATTAAATAAAAATTAAGTACTAATATTATCCATGAATTTGTGCTACCGACATCTTTTTCACACACGGTGTGATCACCTGCAAGTCCGACCTTTTGGTCCACTCCACTCTCACCATAACACTGATCACATTGGTCAGGCATTCAAGTTTTTTTGTTTTGTTTTCACAAATAAGCTAGTCAATGGCAAATCCAGATCTTAAACAAAGCTTGGAATTAAAAGTCTTGATGGTCACTTATGGCAGCCTGTATACAAGGGACGGAATATGTGATGAAAGATGCTGTATTTTTTCTGTTTACATGTCTCATCTATTTGATGCTGTGCTTTACTTATACACTACTCTACTTTTGTATTTTGGGTTTAAATGTCAAGTTGTATATATAGTATTAAATTTTGCACCTTTATCTTGTATTACAATAAACTTAACGATCATAACGGTTTATTTTGAAAACAAATATTATAAAAAATTACATTAAAAACATCAAAGTGCATACTGTACTGTAAAAATTATGCACAATTTTGCAAAGTATCAATTAAAATTGTTAAGGCTTGCAACATAAAAAATTATTAAAAAAAATAAGGTAACTGTACAGTAACTTTCCAGAATGTAGTGGTTGGAAGTTAAACGTATAGCAGGCTCCCTCGGACCATACACTACTCGAGTATCCCAGTATTATATTACACAGCGACGGCACCAACACCAACGGCTTTTCCAGATACCACACTTGTACGTGTGTGGTGCCACACTTGTACATGTGTGATGCCACACTCGTACATGTGTGATGCCACACTCGTACATGCAAGGCCCAGCATGTGCCAGTCTTAATATTAAACACTAATTCCCTGCACTTTTTATGCTTATTGTATGTCTTTGTAACCACCTCGTGCAATCATTACACCAAACAATGCTGATATCTTCAAATTTAAATATCTCATCATGGTTCAGTAAAGAAAACATTTTCAACTAGTGTGCTAACCAAGATCCAATATTTAATGCCCATCTTGGGCACTCAATATGGAAAAAAGCTGACAAGCTTATAGTGTAACAACATTTGGCTGGTGCAACTGTACCCAATTACTTGCTGGACCACAAAATTATAATGTTTGTCAGTGTCCTGGCAAAGTGAATTAAACATAATTTTACTAATGCCTTACTAATTCATCATTCAAAAGCAATTCTTGCCTTCGTACTCTTTCATTCGTTATGTCAATTGTATCAACTTTACACCACTGCCAAATATCAGCACACATGAAAGTGAAATAATAGCTACTGTGTCACAATATGGACCAACATGAGGTGCCTCCATCATCTGGAAATGGCAGCTATGTATACCTGGTAAAATCAGGCAATACCTAGGGATATTTTTATGCATCCCTAATGCAATCAGAAGTATAGTGCTAAGATTCATATGGACTTTGTTCATGCTTACAATATAGCTGTTATCGTGGCATATTTATCCACCCTGTAAAAATAAGACACGAATACGAGACCATGTCTGACGGGGTATCCCATCTCAGGGTTGCCAATATGAGATCATGTCTGATGGGCCTCCCATCTCAGGGTTGCTACAAGTTGAAGCTGTCATGAACATCATATACTGTACAGAGAAGCTATGAAGTCTGCTAATTTCTGGGGCCATTTCATATGACAGCGTCCACACACAGCTGTAAGCTCTCGTGAGAATAGTCCCGCAAAACTTACATGTTACATCACAGTGACCCTGGTATTGACAGGCTCTGCCACACCCCACCACCGCAACTTGAAGGACCCAGTACGCCAGCTGATGACTGGGTTCCACACAGCATGAAGGAAGATAAAGAGGGCACTTACTTCTCGGAATAACCAGCTAATCACAAACTCAAACTTGCTGAATGGAGGAGGCCCATTCTGGAAAAAAAAAATTAATTACCGAGCTATTAACTAATGAGGATTGCTAGTGTTATTAAAGTAGCTTTTAAAACATAATTTTTTTAATTTTTTTCTAATTATAGCACTATTACTTTACTCTAATTACTAAGCATTAAAACACACAAAAGTAGTACAGTATATTAATGAGCACCAACACTGTATCAACAAGCTGTTGCTAAAAATCTACTTTGAATATTCACATGATCACAAAACAAAACATCTCTTCACTTCAAGAAAACTGATCAGTACCTCAAGTATATATACTGTATTTAAAGCTGCTGTGCCATCAAATTATTGCTGGATTACACAATCATTTCTTATCACTGCCCAGGATGGCCTTGACAAAGCTCCCAAGATAAGTATTTCAAATCTAAAACACATTTCATCTCTTTGCTTGTATAATTATATTGTAACAGCAAAAGTAACTGGGCAAAATCTGAATAATCATTGAAACCATACTTCTAATGTTGCAAAGTCCACTTGTAATTTACAGAGCATGCTCACAGCCTGGCTCGACATAAAATAGAAACCTCTCTTAACCATGAAAAATCTGTATAATCTTTAGTATGTACCAAGCAGGGACACGACAAAAGCAGATTCTGGTGCGATATCATAAAACCACAAATAATCTCCAAATTACAAGTTCTAGTTCTGACCAGTATAAGTTTACAAGACTTGTCAATATAAGATGACAAATTATTGGATATGTTACTTTGCTGAAAGATCTAAATGATTTAGGTATTTTCTCTGCATTTTAAACCACAAATCCCATTCTTAAAACTATATTCTTATTCATATGAAGATGGTGATCAGACCATCAGTTTGCTGCTCTTTTATACATTCCATTTTTGAAGAACCTCAGAAGTATACAAAGCCTTTTCTTTCTGTCCTTCAAAATATAGTTCACTATTGTAACTATTCTATGGTGTTGTAATGATCCTTTGGATGCCACAACGCTGATAATTACTATATAATTTCCTTCATTTGCTAACAGCTTGAGTGTATAGTTATACCCTTACATAATCACAAAATAAATGGATTGCAATATTACCTGCACAATATTGAGCATGATCCAATCAGCAAGAGACCATGAAAGTGTGTGAAACAGAAAAAAGACAAGGTAGTCAGCCCGCAACACAATAGTGGCAGCCCACGACACAATCAGCCCTAGTACCATACACTCACTCAATGGCTCCAACAGTATTGTGTGAGGTACCATTGCTATGCGTAATTTACACCATCTGAAAATAAATTAATACTGTGTATAAATATTGTGTTATACTGTAGTTTACTGTAAAAGAAAATCATCAATATGGCATTTGAAATATGTACAAAATTTGGACAAAAAAATGTATAATGCCAGATGTTTAGGGTTTATGAAAAATCCATTCTAGAAGGATTGTAGAACAGACAGCTGTGCACACTATATGTAAAAATAGTGAGAATCGGTCAAAAACTTAATTTTTTTATGCTGTTTTAAGTTGAAATTCTAGTTTTAGAGATAATTAAAGTTGAAGTTATCAACAATCAATAACATACTGTATTCTGTTCCCCGCAGGACCATACAACACGTTCCAAGCTCTTAAATTTTATTACAGTGACCTACATAAACAAAATTCAGGATCGTAACAGAACATTTTTGTTTTATTGACATTATAACACAAAATGAACTTTGTTGGTTGTGGACTTAGTCCCTTTTTTCCCTCAGGGTCTAACCTCTGCCCCTCACCCCTCGTCTTCACCCAGTTAACTTATGATACAATACTTGTTAGCACAACACTTAAACCAGCATTCACATTAAATTCTACACACTTTGATTTAGCTAAGACTTGTACTATACTAAAACCAATACAACTAAACAATTTCAAATCACTATGCAGGACAAGGGCTATCAAGCACACAAATCAAAGAAATATAAATGCTCTTCTGATTTCATTAATCCCCATTGTCATTCTATTATTTATTTAATGTACCTTCCAATGTACCTTCTTGTATATGCATAAATAAATAAATAAATAATGCAAAAGTACAGTACTGGGTACTGTACCCCAATAAACCACCGATTATCAAACCATCCTCGGAATCTGACGTGCAATACATATCAAGGGAAAGATTAGCAGTATTCAAAACTAAATACTAACCCACTTTATCTTAACAGGTTTATGAAAGTGTGATATTTGCAGTTTAATGTTACTAAACTGCACATCTAAACAAGATCCCAAATTATGGGATTGCAAAACTAACACTTTGATGAATTCTTTTATACATTCTTGCTCCCTCATTTCTTTTCATTCTAAAAGTCTGTGATTCCATACATATAACAAACCTTGTTAGTCTGGACAGGAAGATCTTAACTCGACAGATTCCTGCATTTTGCCAGGCAGGCTGTGAGGCAATGCGAATTCCCCAGCCGCGATCCTGGATGTACTTAGCGAAGAAGTAATCTTCTGCTAAGTATATGCCAAAAGCACTGATTCCTAATAGGAAAAAAAAGATACAGTACTTCATAAAGTGCCATTTATTTTTACAAAGTAGATAAATGATTAAACATGTACAGTATAATACATATATTAGACGAATGATTCAATCAACAGAAGTTATTGTATATAAAATAATGATAATTACAAAGTTAGACATGCAACTAAGGAACAAACTTAAACAAATGACTAATCTAGTGAATACACAAAGGTAATTTATAAAATGTATAAGAATTATACAAGTACTGTATAGTATTAGCTAACTGTTTGCAGGATAGTGATGGGCTGAACAGAGCAACATTTGCTGATGAGAGAACACACCCCAGCAACCAATATGAAGTCAAAGACCTTATGGTCATTTTGGAGCACATCAGCAATAATAATGCAGATGAAAATTGCTCCTTTACATATAATGTTGAGAACCATACATAATGCATTTTGTAGGAAAGTGTCTCAGACAGCAGTGACAGCAAATGGAGCATGGGTAAGGAAGTTGTGACGTGGTGCTCAGTAAGGAAAGAGGATGATCTGCCAACATGTCAAGATACTGTACTAGGCGGCAGAGCGTGGGACCCTACCAGAATGTGTTAACAAGTCGCGTGTTCAAAAAACTAATCTTTTCAAGCAGTATGTAATTACTAAATGCAAGAAATTTTGTATAATGTGTTTAGGTACTGTAATTGCAAAACTAGCATAATTCTTTACATTTATTGGAACAGTTATAAAAGGAGCCCAAAATTACTGTCTAGTTGTCTGATTATGGTTGTAAAGAAGCTATTACTGAATTAATTGGAGCAGACACATTTTGTATACAAGCAACTGGACTGAAGCACTTTCCCAAGTGTATGTTTGCTGGAGAATAATACTGGACCATGTGGCAGTATCGCCATGGAGAAACAGCTACCACAATTGAAAGATAAATAGCATCGAGATGATCACTAGTGTAAATGTGGCTATAAATTGGGAGGACAATCACATGTCAATATGTTGATGACAATTCACAACATAATCATGGTTAACTCTGGGAAAATTAACCATAAATCTGACTCTGCTACATATAAACACAATACTATACAGTGATTATAATACACATAACATGTGCTTAATTGGTAAATCTGACAAAAACAAATTTCCACTTTATAAATGTTTTGGTCATAAATATATTTTTAGTTTCAAAGTTATGAAAAAACATTAATAAAACAATTTATTTTCTGTATCAGCTGCATGAGCAATATGGTACACAAGTTCCAATCCAGCCTGGAAGAATAGGAGTCTACACACTTACCTCTACACTGACTTATGAGCTTCATACTCTATGACCCAACACTTTTTACAAGATACCCACTACAGTCACCTAAGTTTCAATGACCCTATCACCTGACTTATCCTTGTATACTCACTTTACCTCTTATAATTTTTCTTTCATCTTTTCTCCTGACTTAATTTTGGATGTGCTTGACCTATAAGTGTTATAAACCAGATGTTCCCAGAGGCCTTGTCACTCCTCACTTGAGAATGAACCTTGTAGGTTCAAAATGTGTCAAATTATACAATACTGTAAGTACTGTTATACAACATGTACTGTTATACAGTACATATTGTTATACTGTGTGTTATTGTTATTGTATTGGTAGTGTTATACTGTTATACAATATGTACTATTATACAATATATGTACAAGACAGTACATTAAACAGTTCATTTTTGTTATTTTAGTCAACCTTGTACAATTATGACATTTGGAGAAATCATCTTCCAGTTAAGCTAAGATGCAAGAGGACTAGTCAGAGGGAGAGAATGGGTTTTCTTTGTACACTCACCTCCAGCTTCATCCAGCACCTTTTTTCTCATCAGACAAGACATTCCGGTACAGCAGTTGACACCAAAGCCAAGAGTGTCCAGTAGTCCTAGAAACAGGTACATTCTTGCATGTCCAGTACCAAAGTAAACCTGAAAAGTGCAGAGATATTTAGGAACTACCCTTTAGTTTGCTTTGTGTGTGATACAGAACTTTGAGAATGGATAACGGATAAATTAAAATAAAACAAAACCTATAAATTTATTAAAAGTAAACTACATGTAAAGCATATAATCCTGTGATTATGAGTAAGTAGTACAGGGTACTCTAGCACAGTGGAGTATAATAACTAGTACAGTAGTACTCTGCTGTAAGTAGAGGGTCCAGGTAGTACAGTCGGGTTCGATCTCGACCCACAATTGAGAATTCCAGGCTTGAATCCAGGACGGGACAGAAATGGTTGGCTGCGTTTCCTATCACCTAATGCCCCTGTCCACCTAACAGTGAATAGGTACCTAGGAATAGCTTGTTTTGAGGTTGCATCCTGGGGTGGGTCAGTAGTTCGACCCTGGTGGGGACCTCAATATAAGCTTAACATGTACTGTATGTATATACTGGCTGCCTGTCCTCCAACACAATGAATTACTGTATAATCAAGTAATATAGAACTACAGTACAGTATAGTCATTCACATAGAAGGAAATGTGTGAAACCCTAAATGAACATACACAGAGAAATCACATTAATGTGATGAATCAACGAGAATCGGGAGGAGCCATGAGGAGGATTTGGACCTAAACACCCCTGAAATGACTGGACCACAATATGCTACAGAAGTAATGAGACCTGGGATTCAATTGAAACCTCTGGAATACCTGAGGCATCTATTGACACCAAATCAGGGTTTCACACATTACCTGCATAAGCATTGGTGTGGTATAGGTATATGCAATGGATCAAAGAGCCAAAGCTCAACCGCAAGCACAATTAGGTGAGTACATATCCTACTGTGTACCACACTCAGCAAAGACTTACCTTCTCCAATATAGCTGGCCATCCCTTCCTGTCACAGGTGAAGGGCATCTGATGGACAATACCAACATCAGGTGTCATATGAGCAACCATATCAGTAAGCGTGTCTTCCTTCATGAGCAGACCCGAGTCAGAAACCAACAGTAACTCATGTTTGGCTGCCAGGTACCCCGGCTGCATGTTATTGATTTTGGGATTCACACCCACCTCCAAGCCACCTGTGTTTATGTAAATGAAGATAAATATGTGACTATGTACTGTTATGTTTGGGCACAGGTAATATGTTGGGCATGGGTAATATGTTGGGCATGGGTAATATGTTAATACTGTACTGTTATGTTTGGGCATGGAGGAAAATGCTTGTATGTAAAGAATGGCATTTTTATTTACAAAACAGACAAGTCATGTCACCGGTAGAGGTGCCATGCATATAACACTTATATTCCTTATTGACAATAGAACACCAGCTCTTCATATTATGAACCTAACCTAGGTAGTATTTGCAGACGCTGAGCCACAATATCATGGCTGAAGATATGATGACCAAACCACACATCCAATAATTGAAAAAAAAAAGTTTTGGACCATCCTGGACCATGTCATTTTGAAATGTCGTCGTTTTTCCATTTTCTGACGTGTGGTTTGGTCATCATATCTAGGTAGTACTTAATCCTACAAAATACCTTCAATCTTAATAAGTACCTTTGCATTTATTCCACTCCCCAGTTTAGTTTACACAAGATTTAATACTATTTCTGGAGGTTATCCCACCCATGTTTAAGTTTAAGAACTATAGGACAGCATGTGTTACCACATAAGATCATGCCAGCATGTGAACCAAGTCAAAAGTATGTAGCAATTGCTTTTAGCACATTCAATGTTGGGATCTGCCATTAAAGGGCATTTAAATACCTTACTTACTATATATAAGAATATATAAGAATTTGCAAGCTACTATTTAAACAAGCAACAAAATACTGTACACTGTATACATCATGAGCCCAGGATGTAGTGATGTTTTAAATTACTGGCAAGTTTAAGCTAGCTTCCATAATATGAAGTAAACACTTACCTACCAGTTTGTCTTAAAAGCACAAAATGCTTCACAAATGCAGTACTATATACCCTAACAAATTGTAAATGCCATAGAGTGGATCCTCTTTAAACAACGAATCAAATATGCTCACCATCTTTCTCCTTCCAAAATTTGGAATTATCAGAAAAGAGAGATATCTGAATTCCAGAGGGATACACAGTGAAATCCAGGTCAATTGTTCATTACTCAAGGTAATCTCCAACACATTGTATCTTTTTATTTTCCTATTTTTATTAATCTTGCTCATTTTATTGAAAATATTATTTGAAATAATGATTATATATTTTATAAAAGTTTTTCTAAACTTATACTGTACTATACACTGCCCGAAACGCTGCACCCCGAAACGCTGCACGTACTAGTGGCTTTACAAGATTGTAATTACCATATTATGTATCCTCACAATCCCAATGTACCTTTTCTTGTATATATATAAATAAATAAATAAATAAATAAATAAATAAATAAATAAATAAATAAATAAATAAATAAATAAATAAATAAATTGTACAAAAAATTTGTGTAACTTATCTGCGACATCAATACCTACCGAGAGCACACTTACAAGCAATGTATTTTCCTTGAGTGAGTGAGTGTACTATCAACTCTCTTCAACAGTTTTCATTAAATTTGATTGGAAAATACAGTATCATTATTCACAACTTTGCCAGACCACAAGCTATGTGGTCCAGCAAGAGTAGTTTGGATACATCAGGCAAGGGTAAGAGGAACTTCCTAATGGATAAGAGGGCTAGATTGTTAGAGAATGTGATCATGGCTGGGAGGCAAGTGGCTGACAGACACGTATTGTTTCTGGCATAAAAAAAGGAGGATTATGGAGTTTTGAGTGAAAAGGGAGAGAAGTGGTGGTAAAAGTAGTCACAGAAAAATATCAAAACTTCTAAGTATGATGATTGTGGTACAGTGACAGTTGGCAATGCCTGCTAAAGTGTTGTACATATTATCCCTTTCTATCCATCAATGATGGTCCTCTCAAGTGTTCCCTTGGCATCATTGTGTGCCTGATGCTGCTAAAAGCCATCCAAACTAAATTTCTACAGTAATTTACATGTATCAGGGGAAAAGACAAACCAATCAACAATGTTTCACCTGTAAAGAAAGAAGCGTCAACATGCGGGTGCTTCTTCATCAGTTGCTGGACAATCATGATGCTTGGGTCACCTTCCTCCTGCACACAGAACAGCAGCTCAAACTGTGGAGACAATATTTATTTTGCCTTTATGTTAGCTTATGAAATTACACTAGTTCTGACATGTATCTTATTAAATGTACATAAATTATAAGCAAGAGTATAAACATGGTAATAAAAAATCTGCTCACATGGTATGTAAGAAATTAAATATTTTACCTATATGAAAAAATTGTTGTACTAAGTAATAACTATCTGTTCTCAGGTCCTAAGCCTATTACAATACAGGTATATGCATCTGTAAATCTTTCCACTACTGCTTATAGGAGACGTATGGAACGCATGATAACTGAGCTAAACTATAACAAAAATCAAACAACGTAAAAAAATGTAAATAAAACTTTTCTCACGAGTGCTCAGCAGCATCTGAAGATTAGCTCTGGTAACACCAAGCCTTAGCCCAACACACAAGCCCTCCGAGATTCATCCACCGTTGACCGAGAGCCAGCTACATAGTCACCCCGGATTGGTGCCTTTTGATAATTACAGTACTTGCTACTAGGAGCCAGAATCAGAGTAGAATTCTTGTAGAGCAAGAATATGCCTTGCTCTACAAGGAAATTGAAGCTTGGGAATCAGAGATTTACAAAAATTTTGAAAAACCTGCCAGAAAGCAGAGGTGCAACAAAACAAGACCACTTGAAAGAAAGTAAGCACTGCAATGTACACATGGCAAATGATTATTGTCACTCTTATGACCACGACAACCACTTACCAGCCCAAGTTACCCAGGGTCTGAGCTAGCCTGCTTCCTCACTCTGCCTAGTTTTTTTTTACTTTAACAATTATTACCTCTGCTGACCAGGAATCTGGTTCTTTCCCAGTTGGTCAACTCTGGCTTTATGATTAACTGGTGGAAGTCTTAATTGGTACCATCTTGGTTGGCCTAGAGGCTGCATCTCAATTTCTGGCTGGTGCTGGAAGGTCTATGCATTTCCATTGGAACCTCGAACTTCTTTTGGGCAGTCTGATCTTCATCTTGTATACACATTAGGCAGTGTCTGGCTGGCTGAATGTGCTTTACTACTTTTTCCAGTGGGCATTCTTTTGCAACTTCTGGGACCGTGTATGCTGAGCTATATTTTGACCATGGTGGATTCTGTCATCCTTTTCCTTATCAGGTGTTAAACTGTTGGCACAAAAATAAAGACAAACTGTCTGGGATCCCGAGCGACCTGGGCTGCCTTCTAGTGATGATCGGGCATACACAGTTAGGGTATTTACCACCAGGCAAAAATTGCCTTGTCTACCATGTGGTACCTACTTTTCTTCAAGAAATTGTTTATTTTGGTTTACCTATGCTTTCTGATGCAATTTCTCTCTGTTTCATGAGAATCTCTGATCCCCAAGCTACCCCCTCGCCTGACAGAGTCAAATTGTGGTTCTGGCTTTCTGAAGGTGATAGGTCTTGGAGGCCTAATATGTTGAGCTAAGGCTTCATTATAATTTAGTTGCTGGGGTCCAGTGTCCCAGTTGCAACTCACCCTTACAACAAAGCCTAAATGAACTTACATATCACAGTCATTCTCCCTATTTATGAACTAAAACTTCACTTTACACATTGTTCTTTACTGTTGATAGCTCTCCTCAAAATGTTTTTCTAACCTTCGGTGTTCTCAAAACAAGTCTCAAAATTATTCACACTTCTGAAATCAACATGTGCAGCTAAACAACTAAAGCAACTCGGTTGATATTGCGTGTGGCAGCGTGTGCAAACTGGCACAGAAATTACCTTCACAAGTACAATATATTTATGAAAAGATACACAAGCACAACACAATAATGCAAAGAGCATTTCACATGCATATCAACACTTAAAAGAATAGAATCAAAGAATCAGCTAAATGATGCTAAGTATCTCTGATCAAAATTATTAAAAAAAATGCCTATTCTGATGTCACAAGTTTCTGTTGCCTCACACCAAAAGTGGAATACCAAACAGAGTGCAAAACAGCTGTACACAAGCCAAACTCTATAAAGCTATTCCCATATTTTCCAACAGGCACCAGACCTCATTAGCACAAACCTGCCATTAGCAGGACACATGCATTATTCAGTGAACAAATGACTTGCACTGCTAATTAATGGCATTGGATGCTGCACAAATGACCCATTAAGGTGGGAGGATTTATATCCCTGACATATCCATCAAGGCAATATGGTTCATCAGGAGAGATGGAGTGGGGGATTATAGGCACATCATTCATTAGAGCAATATAGTTTATCAAGGAAGGGGGGCTATGTGTAGGTGTTAGACCCATCATATTCATCAACAAAATATAGGTTTAGACTCATCATATCCATCAACAAGATGTTGGTTATCAGCTGCAGTATCAACAGAGTAGCAGCAGGAAAATGGCATAAGCAGTAGCAAATAACCTGTATCAACAGTTGCAGATTTAACAGCAAGAGATCATCATTACAGCAAAATCAGAACAAAATACTGTAGCAATAAAACAGCAGCACTGCAGCAAACATGCAACAGAAGCAGTATGGCAAAAGTGGTAACAACAGAGCGTGCCATCAACATACAATTATAAGGGCAGCAGCAACAACAAAACATCAGTAAATAATGGTGAGAGCAGCAACAGACAATTTTGCCACCATAGCATCAACAGAGTAGCAGTAGGGGAGGAGCTTCAACAGAGTGGCAGTAGGGGAGGAGCTCCAACAGAGTAGCAGTAGGGGAGGAGCTCCAACAGAGTGGCAGTAGGGGAGGAGCTCCAACAGAGTGCCAGTAGGGGAGGAGCTCCAACATTGTAGCAGTTGAGTTGCACATAATGCCATCAGAACAGCAGTACAAAAACGTCAATAGGAGCAGGAAAAACAGCAGTAGATCAGCAACAGAAGCAGAGGAAGCACCCAGCAGAGTAGCAACAGGAGCAGATGGAGTAGCAGCAGATCAGCAGCAGGAGCAGAGGAAGCAGCAGGAGCAGAGGAAGCAGCAGGAGCAGAGGAAGCAGCAGGAGCAGAGGAAGCAGCAGATCAGCAGCAGGAGCAGAGGAAGCAGCAGAGAAGGGGTAGCAGGGGACGCAGCAGCAGAGAGGGGTAGCAGGAGATGCAGCAGCAGAGAAGGGGTAGCAGGGGACGCAGCAGCAGAGAAGGGGTAGCAGGGGACGCAGCAGCAGAGAAGGGGGTAGCAGGGGATGCAGCTGCAGCAGAGAAGGGGTAGCAGGGGATGCAGCAGCAGAGAAGGGGTAGCAGGGGATGCAGCAGCAGCAGAGAAGGGGTAGCAGGGGATGCAGCAGCAGAGAAGGGGTAGCAGGGGACGCAGCAGCAGAGAAGGGGTAGGAGGGGACGCAGCAGCTGCAGCAGAGAAGGGGTAGCAGGGGATGCAGCTGCAGCAGAGAAGGGGTAGCAGGGGATGCAGCAGCAGAGAAGGGGGTAGCAGGGGATGCAGCAGCAGCAGAGAAGGGGTAGCAGGGGATGCGGCAGCAGAGAAGGGGACGCAGCAGCAGCAGAGAAGGGGTACCTGGGGACGCAGCAGCAGCAGAGAAGGGGTAGCAGGGGACGCAGAAGCAGAGAAGGGGTAGCAGGGGAAGCCGCAGATCGACAACAATAGGAGCAATAGCAGATGACCGACTGGATAGGAGCATCAGAGGAAGCAGGTAGAGCAATAGATGTTGTGTGTTCCAGCGTGTAGTCCTGATCATGGCCAGGGCTTCTTGCTTCAGAGTTTGTCAAGTGGTTAGGCATATCCTTGACTCTCTACCTTCTTGGTTTATATTTGCGTGAGAACACCTGCCCTTCCTCCGTTATCTTCTGACCAGTCTTATCGCTTAACCTGAATATGTCACTAGTCTTGAAAAGCTCTAAATGTATTGTCAAATAAATTTTAAACTAAAAAACAAGAAACTAAATGTTATTTTACGTGTATTTGATCACTCCTACATCAGATTCGTCTTGGTAAACACGTTTATTAAATATACTTTATCGATCTTAGCGCTAATTGGCTCATAATTCTTCACTGTGGTTGGTAATAATAATAATTCCCGTGGCCGGGTGCCAGAAAGCCTCTACTTAAGACTTATCCAAGTCCGCCTGGGTCAACTACTGACCTGCCCCACGATGAAGCTCACACCAATTGCTTTACTTCCGGGTACCTGTTTACGACTTGGTGAACAGTGCAGCATAAGGAAACGTGGGCAACCGTTTCTGTCCTGCCTGGGGGGAGGGGGACTGAACCCTGGTCCCTTGGTTGTGAGCAGAGGACGCGGTACAACCCAGCTGAGTGTGCGTGTACTATCGTACAACAGCTAGAAAAAGTGTTGGGACCTTATGGACCCTTCCTGAGCGTAGGGAAGGGAGGGAGGGAGCGTGCACGCGTGCACATATGCATGGGAAGATGAAGAATGCAACAAGTCATGATAAAGACCAATACAATGTGCCATGACGCTGTCCCCGACACACCAGACCCGAGGGTTCGACTCCCCGGCTACTGGTACTTGCTAATGCTCGCCTCGTCGTCTCCTTCCTCCCGATGGTTCTCAGGCCACCTGGGACTGTTTCCGGGTCCCCTGCTTGCTTCCTGCCTTCCTGCATTACTTCCTCAATCTGACGCTAGACTTTCTCCTGCTATTCTTACCACTGCTGCCATCTTTCCGGGTACCATAGTTGCCACTAGCATAGTTACGACCACCATCACTGAAGCAGCCTACCCGCCAGTCTAGTGGGTGGGCGTGAGAGCGGCTGGCAACAGGGAGGTGGACAAACTGCCTGGTAGTTGGCGTCAACTGGTTCTCCTCGCCTGGGCTGCTGCTGACGTCAGTACTGGCATTCACCAGCAACACCACGTGTTTTTACGCTCCCCCTTACTCCTTGCCAGTACACCCAACCCCGCCACACATGTCCCACCACAACACAACACCCGAAGATCATCCCCCGCATGAACAACTAGGTCAATGCATACAAGACGCTGAGGGGGGTGAATAGACAAGGTGAACAAGGACAGTCTCTTTAAATTGTTAACAAATACGACAAGAGGGCATAAATAGAAGCCGGAAAAACAAATCAATCGTAGAAATGTAAGGAAATAATCGTACACTGTACGAGTGGGCAGGTGGAATATACTGAAGGAAGAAGTTGTAAAAGCCAACTTCAATTCTCGACTTTAGAGACGGCACCACTCCCGTGCCAGGTAGTACGGGCTCACCATAGCCCGTGCTACTTGCCCCGCTCCTGTGCCAGGTAAGTTACGGACTCACCATAGCCCGTGCTACTTGGAACCTGTTCCGAGTAGCTGAATCTATAACAACAACATCTCAACTTTAAAGAATAATTCGACAAGGTATTCGAATAAGGTATCAACCCCCCCCCCCCCCCCCAACACCACCAGCCTGGTCGCCGCCGCCACCCACCTCGGGCTCTCAACTACGTCACGCCATAATATTTGATTTACAACGAACTCTAGTATTTTGTCTTGTTTTACAACTATGGTGTGTAAATGATACAATGTGCCAAAAACAATAACACAAACAGTAGTCGGGTTGATGCTGCTAAGGTTGTGGACATTAATATTGGCGGCAGAAGGCAAGATATTTGTTGACTTGGTCCAACTGGTCAAATGATCACGTGATCCAAACATTGGTATAGATATATTCACCAGACCCTCGTCCCAACCAATGACACGCTCATACTGACCAATTAAATAATGACCAATGTCATCAATGAACTAAAATAGATAGCCTTATATATAATTGTTGTAATAATAAAGTTGTGATTGTAGAGTGGATTAAAGAAATGATCAAAGTGCACGTGGTAAAGATATTACAGTGACTTTCCACTAGTGTTACAATTACCGCAAGAAAGGCAGGAACACTACACATGTCTTAGGTTTTCACTATATCTTATATGTACATAGTCACTGAGAGAAACACTCAGGCAAAGCAACATTACAGTTTGTTGAGAGGGAGAATATGCAACATGCAGGCGATGAGTCACAATAACGTGGCTGAAGTATGTTGACCAGACCACACACTAGAAGGTGAAGGGACGACGACGTTTCGGTCCGTCCTGGACCATTCTCAAGTCGATGCACAAATGCAACATTTGTGCACAAGTAAAGGAAGATGAGTGACCTTGGTGGTGTAGGGAGCAACTGACAAGTGGTAGTGAGTGCTGCCTTGACCTTGCACCACTCACAATACCTGTTATCCTTGCTTCTCTTCTATACAGAATTTGCCGTTGTGCTCCCAGCTTCCTCGAATTATACATTTACCTGAGGGCCACCATCTCTGGTGGTCTCGCGGGGGACAAGAAGCTGGTGGCTTGTCAAAGATCCCTATTATTCCTACATCAAGTCATCAACCAGGAACCCAATCCAAGAGTGGACGTGGGAATGATAGGTGTCACCATCTACCTTCTCCACCAAGTTGCTCCCACTCACAACACAATCCACCACCACAATACACAACCATCACTACAACACACCCAACCACCACAACACAACCCACCACCATCACTACTTTACCTACACCAGAGGGCATGGGGGTGTCACCTGTAAAACTTAGAGTGGCTTCGGTACAAGCCTCCAGACTTCGTGAGGATTCACATTGACTGATAAAGATTATGCCACCCAAGAGGTGGCACGGGCAAGTGGAATCCCTGGTTATATACCTTGTCGTGGTACAGAGGTAAGATGAGCGGCTAGGAGTACCCTGATCCCTGGTTCGAGTCACCTCAATACTCTGATTTTCTTATTGATATAATGTATATCACGTTAGTGATTTATTTAAATTTCTGGAATTGTATGGTGGGTGTAGGTTCCAGCCCGCGCTAAGGAGGGTTGACTGGGTACAAATTATTATTAACTGTTCGTCCCTCTTCACCCAGCAGTAGTTATGAACCTGATTGTAAACATATTGGCGGATGCGTCCAGTGAAAAACTAGTAGGGTAAGGCTTAACATGAGCAATGTGAAGGAAAGTTGCGTAGCCTGCTAGCAGAAGTGGGGAATGGTCTCCTGCAGCGTGCCGGCCCGGCGAGCAAAAAGAAGAAAGGGAGACAGGGCGTGGCATATGGAAGGCGGGCTGGCCAGGAGCAGCAGCTCCCAGGAGCCCGCGGGACCTTGACAGTAACGGGCGGCAGGCAGGCCGGCTCCCGCCACTGTCGCCAACACTCCCGCCAACCCGATAGTTGGCGGGACATGAAGCGCAACGTCTCACTCCCCATACTCACTACTTTCCTCTCAATATCTGAAGGGGAGGTAAGGTCTACCTTTTTATGACCCTCCTACTAATCCTGAACCTGTTCTTTATTATTAAACTATGCTGGCATTTGAATTCTTTGTCAAATCTGGCCATAAAGTTGTGGAGGGAGGTGGCTTCCACGACGTCTTTCAGGTCATTCCACTTGTTGACCACCCGTATGGAATGGTCAACAAGTGGAATGACTTGTAACTTAAGTGTCTCGGTTCTGGCAGCCGCAGTAATCTTGTTCTAAGTGCCACCATTTCTGCACGCGTATCACCACCACCTTAGCATGGCCCGGAAGGAACGTGAGGGAGGAAGTAGCTGCCTCCGGCGGCAACAATCAAATCAGAGGAAGTAAGCCGCATCCACTAACGGCTTATCACCAAACTAAGCCAGACTTCGTTCAAATAGTGTTCACTACTAATGGTACATTTGCAATATATTTACTCCACTTTTCCTACCATGTGAGTAAATTACGAAGACATTAACACGTGATGAACAATTTGACGAAGTCAGACCACGAAGGAAGGAATAAGACAAGAATTTCCTTAAGTACTTTCGCATTTAATAATACATCTTCAGAAGGATTTTCATCTTTTTCCTTTTTTGTGTGTGTAAAAGATTTACATCTTTTCCTACCAAGTATCTCCTTACTGTCGTAATGTTACTGTGCCGGTTTGGAAGATGACCCTTGAAGTATTTACATGTGTTCTAGATATCTCTCGTCTCCGTTCCAGGGCGTATAAATGAAGTTCAATTATGCGGCCCCAGCACAGTAGTTTAAATGTTTGAGTGATTCTATGCTAACAATTAGAGGATTCCTGCACGTTTTCTAGCGTCAGAGCCGTAAAAGATTATCTCTGGTGTGTTACCTTTTGTTTACAAGATTCTTGTTATATACGGTAAGTTTTCCTGACTTACCACATTTGCTTCAGTGTAATTTCTTAACTGGCCACCAGTTCTGTTTCACCAAGAATCCATACCCCGAGCATTATTCATAATACTTCACAAACACGTACAGTTTACTGTAAATAAGACATTATAACCAAGAATAATTGTGCTGGGCGCCAAACCCGAGGTTGGCGGTGGCAGACGAGGCTGCCTGCTACACCCCAAGGGGGGCAAGGCTACACCCCAAGGGGGGCAAGGCTACACCCCAAGGGGGGCAAGGCTACACCCCAAGGGGGGCAAGGCTACACCCCAAGGGGGCAAGGCTACACCCCAAGGGGGGCAAGGCTACACCCCAAGGGGGAAGGGGGCAAGGCTACACCCCAAGGGGGAAGGGGGCAAGGGTACACCCGAAGGGGGAAGGGGGCAAGGCTACACCCCAAGGGGGGCAAGGCTACACCCCAAGGGGGGCAAGGCTACACCCGAAGGGGGAAGGGGGCAAGGCTACACCCCAAGGGAGAAGGGGGCAAGGCTACACCCCAAGGGAGAAGGGGGCAAGGCTACACCCCAAGGGGGAAGGGGGCAAGGCTACACCCCAAGGGGGAAGGGGGCAAGGCTACACCCCAAGGGGGAAGGGGGCAAGGCTACACCCCAAGAGGGAAGGGGGCAAGGCTACACCCCAAGGGGGAAGGGGGCAAGGCTACACCCCAAGGGAGAAGGGGGCAAGGCTACACCCCAAGGGAGAAGGGGGCAAGGCTACACTAAGGGGGAAGGGGGCAAGGAGACCCCCTACAGCCTGGGGCCTGCGGTGCACGACGTGAACCTGCCTCTCCCAGAGATTTAAACTAATTATGCGAGGTGATTGGCTCCACTTCACTGCAAACTGCTCCACATTTGCATTCGCTCGTACGGCGGCGGGCTCTAAGGTATTTTATAATTTCCCAAGCATTATGTTAACCTCGGGTGAAATTATGACGTTCATACTCTCTTGATCGAAACATGAAATGTTTGAAACGAGGCTGTTTCATGGTAATGCAGACTGCACTATCAAGAAGAAGAAAAGGAGGTTGGTAAGGTTGAGATGAGGTTTAGGGTAAACTCGGCCACCAGCACTATGCTACCTTCTACTATAATACTCGTAAACTATAATCCCAGTTATGAGTGGCAACGTTAACAACCCAACAGGTGATTGGAAGGCTTCACCACTGTAGATAACCCATCAATGGTTATCTACAGTGATTATCCAATGGTCAATGGGCAATGATAATTATCGCAGGTGATAATAACTCGGCCATAAAGGCACCAAACCTGCCACCAGAGTGACAAGGGTAGTGGAGGTTGTAGAGGGAGACTGACCTTGGGGTAGTTGAGGTTGAAGAAGGTCTCGAGGTTGGTCATAAGGTTGGGGTCCATGGGGGTGCCGACCAGAGGCTTCAAGATACTGACCCCCAGCACCCCCTGCTCCCCGCTCTCCACACTCACTGCCCGACGGTGGTGCAGGCGACGGTACCTGTAACACGATATAACACACAACTTACTATTAGAAACACTACTGCAACCCCCCACCATTATTAATCTTTATATATATGCATATATAACTAATCCTGGTTATTAATTAAACGATGGGGTCGTATTCCGGGGAACATTGGATTAAGGACTTGCCAGAAACGCTACGCGTGCTGGTGGCTGTACAAGAATGTATCAGCTCTTTTGTGTATATAAAATCACAAGCATCAATGAACTCCTATATACTGGGTATTATTATTGTTTCAGGGGCGCTGGAACTGGTTTTTACTTTGTGGAGATGTTTACATACTGAAGAATCCTGTTTTGTGATTGCGCGTGCGTGCGCGTGCGTGCGTGCGTGTGTGTGTGTGTGTGTGTGTGTGTGTGTGTGTGTGTGTGTGTGTGTGTGTGTGTGTGTGTGTGTGTGTGTGTGTGTGTGTGTGTGTCATCCATAAAGCTGGATGACCACACAGTAGCCTAATACACAAGTGATTGATTGATTGATTGATGAAGATTAAGCCACCCAAGAGGTGGCACGGGCATGAATAGCCCGTAAGTGGTGGCCCTTTTGAGCCATTACCAGTATCAAGAGCTGATACTGGAGATCTGTGGAGGTGCGACTGCACCCTGCGTGACGGGAGATGTCTCCCGGACCAAATGGTGACCAGATGGTGGTACACAGTAGCCTAATACACAAGTGAAGACACAGGTACTATATATAACATGCCAGTGTACCAGGTACGACCACCACACATCATGACGGTAAACATTACCGTACTAAACACTGTACACCCGTACTGGTTCACGGAAGACACTCTACCTTACAACCCTGAGGAGAATTATATGACCGGGTCACAGAGATACCATACTGTAGCGTGGCCAGTTTAAGTTTTTTTGTTAAACAGGTTGTAGTGATAGGCTAGATAACCCCCGTTGCTTAGTACCTAAGCAACGGAAGGCCAAGATTCAGCATCATGCAAGCTGTATAGCTGGAGGGTTCCACATGAGCACCAGGGCCTATCTTGAGGTTATCTTGAGATGATTTCGGGGCTTTTAGTGTCCCCGCGGCCCGGTCCTCGACCAGGCCTCCTCCCCCAGGAAGCAGCCCGTGACAGCTGACTAACACCCAGGTACCTATTTTACTGCTACGTAACAGGGGCATAGGGTGAAAGAAACTCTGCCCATTGTTTCGCCGGCGCCTGGGATCGAACCCAGGACCACAGGATCACAAATCCAGCGTGCTGTCTGCTCGGCCGACCGGCTCCCTGATGTATGTGAATGCAAATACTATGATGAGGGGAAACTCGAAGATGTAGAAGACCTGAGCAGAGGGGAATTATCAGGGGGAAAGCATCAAGCCATTACGACTATATAGCACTGGGAAGGGGTCAAGATAAGGATTTGGGATGAGGGGAGAGGAAAGGGCCCAACTCCTTGAAAGGTCGGGGATGGACCGGGGTGGTGGGAACAGGTGGCTAGGCACAAGGTACGGCGACTTAAAGAGAGGATCCTTCTGGAGTTGAAGAGGAAGATCATAATATGATAATGTAAGTGGCACATGCAGAGTTGACAAAGACACGCTACTGAGAAACACAGACGCCAACACATTATTCCATAGTTAGAAACTATTCCCTCGAGAAACATAGAGGGGAAACTTTAGAGCCAGAAAGACAGGGAAATACATATTGAGTGTGGACGCAGCGAACATTTAGCATGACTGGACAAGTCATGCTGGTGGAAACACACAACACAACTATATGACAAAACTCTAGACAATTACTTATAAAGTGATACCAGATATTCCCCAGTGAACCTGAGGCTAACTTGTTCCCTCTATCTACTATTAGGTTAGCACAACACAGATGGAGGGTGTGGGCGTTCCTCCCTCTACTACTCAATTACTCAAAGTCCTCTCCCCCCTCCCCCTATCTCTCACCCCCCCCCCATGCTCCCAGACGGGGGTGCTGCCCCCCCCCCCTGGCCCAGACAGCATGAGGGGGGGTAGGGTGGGGTTGCAGGTACAGGGCGGGGGAGGGGGGAGAGAGGCCTGCACATTGATTAATCAATAAGTCCATGGTATTATGGTCGCCTCCAGCCACCGCCCGTACCTGGGTAAGTGGGTCACACCCTCACGCCCACTCTACGTGCCCAGCACGCACTCCCGCACATCGACCGCGCCACTCACCTAGTATGGATCATTTTGTACTGCATGGTCCCCAACGTGCACATTACAGGCTACTATGAAAAGTTGCCGGTCACGAAAATCCACGTTTTGTGTGCATCGGGAGGTTTGGTTAGGTGGGTGGCTTGGCAAATTTTAAATTTAAATTTAGCCCCGAGGGGCGAGTTTATTGGGCAGCGCCACTCATCTGGTGAGTGGACACCGCCATAGCAGCATGTACAACACTCCCCAATAGGAAGAAAACCCGCTGGGTTGTTCATCCTGTCACTTGTACCCAGACACAGCTGGGACTTGCTTAACTGTCTCAAGTGAACAGCTCCTCAAACAAGAAGATTAGACTCTAGTTAAATTACTACTGTACCATGTACGTGGTGGCAATTCATGAGAACTACCTGGTTACACACTCCACTAACTACGACACTTCAACCTGGAGAAGCTGCTGACCTAAGACACTCCCGGATGTGGTTCACTACAGGAATCCATTCACTGGAGCGCTTAAGTCTACATAAAGTGTGCGGTGCGGTGTGCAGGCGAGACACACCACAATAATGTGTCCAGGACATTTACCCCACCACAGCTTCAAAGTCTCTAAACACCACCTTGCCAGCTATGCTAAATATACAGAATATAAAGTAACGGTGCAGTAACAACACTAACAGACAATTCTCTAAATATTCAAAGCTGAACAAGTGTTAACATCCTACCTACCTACCTTGTCGAGGTTCCGGGGATCAACGTCCACGCAGCCCGGTCTCCCATTAAATATAAGGGGGCATTTACACACACCTCTTAACTGTTTTCAGGAGGGAACGAGACCAACACATCCACAGAGTCTGATCAACCACACTGTGAGTCACAGACGGGTGACTGCGTGCTGAGGTTTCTTAATACCTGGACTGACCAGTCAGCCAGTCGGGAGGCCTGGACAACAAAACTGCCGCCAGCTACATAGCTCCTCGGTATCAACTCTAAGGTGACACGACATATTCACGGAAATACATATGACACGCTATTTGGAATTGGCGATAGATAGGGGACAGAAGACACAACCCCTGTCAACAGGGGACACAACCCCTGTCAACAGGGGACACAACCCCTGTCAACAGGGGACACAACCCCTGTCAACAGGGGACACAAGCCCTGTCAACAGGGGACACAAGCCCTGTCAACAGGGGACACAAGCCCTGTCAACAGGGGACACAACCCCTGTCAACAGGGGACGCAACCAGGGGACACTCATTAAACTCTTCACAACCTTGACGGAAAGAAGCTATCTTGAAGTTATCTTGAGATGATTTCGGGGCTTTAGTGTCCCCGAGGCCCGGTCCTCGACCAGGCCTCCACCCCCCAGGAAGCAGCCCGTGACAACTGACTAACTCCCAGGTACCTATTTTACTGCTAGGTAACAAGGGCATAGGGTGAAAGAAACTCTGCCCATTGTTTCTCGCCGGCGCCCGGGATGGAACCCAGGATCACGTGACCAGCGTGCTGTCCGCTCGGCCGACTGTCTGGCGACCAGTGGTAGGTAAGACCAAAGGTGTCTCAAGGGAAGACCAACACTCTTACATCTCACTACAGCTGGGAAGGAAGAGTAATCAAGAGGCACGGAGGATAACTAGTTCTACAACTAGTTATCTTGAGGCACGGAGGATAACTAGTTATCTTGAGGCACGGAGGATAACTAGTTATCTTGAGGCACGGAGGATAACTAGTTATCATGAGGCACGGAGGATAACTAGTTATCATGAGGCACGGAGGATAACTAGTTCTACAACTAGTTATCTTGAGGCACGGAGGATAACTAGTTATCATGAGGCACGGAGGATAACTAGTTCTACAACTAGTTATCTTGAGGCACGGAGGATAACTAGTTATCTTGAGGCACGGAGGATAACTAGTTATCATGAGGCACGGAGGATAACTAGTTATCTTGAGGCACGGAGGATAACTAGTTATCATGAGGCACGGAGGATAACTAGTTATCTTGAGGCACGGAGGATAACTAGTTCTACAATTAGTTGGGTAGGAAAGGGAGGCAGTTGGGGGAGGGGGTTGATGAGGTAAGTAGGATAAAATGGGAGAGGGGAGAGGGAATATGGGAGGGTGGATAGGGTGAGAAGGGAGTAGCCCTTAGCAAGTGAAGGGAGAGACCTGCTTAACGACCAACTGATACGGGCCCCCATGGCCTATCAACACTAATGGCCTGCTGCTGCCATAGCTACACTCCGCGCTTCCTGCCCCTGGAACCTTCCTTCACTCACCCCTAGCTCTCTCCTGCACCACCTTCACTCTCTCCTCCCTCACCTTCCTCACTCTCCCTCACCTTCCTCACTCTCCCCTCCCTCACCTTCACTCCCCCTCCCTCACCTTTATCACTCTCCCCTCCCTCACCATCATCACTCTCTCCTCCCTCACCTTCCTCACTCTCTCCTCCCTCACCTTCCTCACTCTCCCCTCCCTCACCTTCACTCCCCCTCCCTCACCTTTATCACTCTCCCCTCCCTCACCTCACCCTCCCTCACCATCATCACTCTCTCCTCCCTCACCTCACTTTCAATCTCCATCTCTACAGCCTACTTCGCTTCCCCCTCCCTCACCTTCCTCACTTTCCCTCCCTCCCTCGCCATGAACATGATGAAAAAATTAACCTACAAGTGGTTTATAGAAGCTAACTCCAGCAAATGTACAGTAATGAAGCTGGGTGTTGACAACAGGACGCTGAGCTTGGTGGTATCTAATGGTAGCCAGAAGTCTCCCGGGGTCAGGAAGCAGTAGCACCGTCAGCAATGATAGCAAAAAATGCATCTTTTCTTACACCCCAC